ATGAAATCACTAAAAATAAAAAAACCGAGTTTTATTCAATAATCTAATCAATTGACATTTTATCAACATCTGAACTAAGTGACTGATGATTGTGTGGTAAGACGAGCGTATTGTTTAGTTTTTTTGCGAGATACGTACTGTTTCTGAGATCCTGGTTTTGCTTTTCGATAGTAACAACCCGCGTTGAGAAATCACTATCAAGTCCAGCTAGTGCAGCAATACCATCCATCTGTAATATAAATTGATTTTAGTAAAGCCATGTATAACCTATGTAAACATGACTGGTATTCAACATTTTGATGTAATAAAAACTTTCGCAAAAGTTATAAAAATATAGAAATAAAGTTTAATCTTGAATTATTGCACTATTATGCAGAATCACTTTAATTCAATAAGCTGGTACGGAATAAAAACTAATCTCCTGTAATAACGAAGATGAGAAAAAAAAAGATTGTACTTACACACTGCAGGGACTGTTTGATGTGAGCACGAGCCTTGGCAACCTCACTGGCTAAGCTTCCTGCAGAAAACTGGCCTCCCTACATTTATCAATATCACAAGTTTTACTCACCACCATAATTACAGCTAGTTACTATTAGTATACTATTATTTATAAAATAACATTAAAATCATGCAAAATTTAATGCAATACTGGTGCATTACAAAAGTTGTAGTTGTATTAACTATTGTAAGTATTTTGAAAAAATTAAAAGCTATTAGTTAAATTATCCATGAAGTGCCAGTGAACGTTAATGGATCCTAATTGTATTTATAGCTTTCTTTATTTAAAATTACATTTTGTTAGTAAACTTAAAAATAGGTCATGCAAATAATATGAAAAGGTACATTTCATTGCATGGGTGAAGGAGGCAGTCATGCAATAAAAACTAAAATTAGTCAGAAATTTTTTTTTTAACAGTACACACTATCACAAAAACTGAACATAATGTAAACAATATCACATTCAAAATAAATTTAGTAACTAAAACGTAAAATTGAGAGTAATGTGTCTAAAATAAAACTGTTCTATGTGAGATTTTACAATTTAAAAAAATGTATGTGAAGCTGCAAAAAATCACAAACAAATATTTCCTCTCAACAAATTCGGTACGTCAATAATTAGTACCTGGTTGGTCTCTTGACCTTTATTCTCTTGAATAACAATCGCAGGCTTATCCTGATCTGAATTTTTCTGTTTTTTATCAGCTTTATTTTTTTCCTCTTTAGCCTCTTTGGCCTTCAGCTTCTTATTACTAGTGGTAGGCGTTTCATTAACGCTTCCCTGCGATATTTCTGACTCTTCGATTTTAATCGCGACGGTATCAAGAAGCGGTTCGGCAACTTTAGCCTCCTTCTTCTTATTTTTCTTTTTACTACTTTTGATTGTTTCGGAGTTATTGGAGTCATTATTACTTGTCGTAATACTGTTTTGTTTATTGGTAGATTTTTTGGATTTTTTGGTAGAGTTGGTGACACCAAGAGGTGAATCATCCCCTGTCAAAGGTTTCTGAGGTAGTACATCCTGCACCACATTTATATAAAAAGTTTTTTTGGTGAAATTATATACATCTACTACCTGATATTATGTTACTATAAACATCCTTTTGTGTCATTATTTTGTCTTTTAAGCAACACTGACATCAAGAGTCTTTAATTAGAGTTCTATAAGCATTAATAAATTAAAAACGTAAATTTTCAAGAATGGTTTGATTAATTTACAAGATTAAAAAAAAAAAAAAAAATTAAAAACCAATTGTTTTGAACTCAAAAAATCAATATTATAAAAGACAGTTATTTGACATTTTAATATTGGATATCACATAAACTAAAAAATATAATTGATCCAACAGTTCTTGTGATAATGTATTAAATAAATGAAATTGTGTTCCTTTCGAATTGTTAGTAACCATCAGTTATGTATGTTAAATCGGACACACCCACACAACAGAAAATTACACACTTTAACAATACTATCACCAGATATTCCCCCAAAGCATTTATTAATAATGTTAGCATTTCAAGTTAGTTTGACAAGGTTCGATAGGTTAAAAAAAATAGCTGAAAATACTACAAACCAAAATAGAAAAAAGTAATTGAATTTTAATTTTTAGAAATATAATGATCAATCATGTAGTTATGAATAAAAAATGAGAAATTAAAAATGATGAAACGATCTTGATTATAAAATTGAAAAATCAAATAGATAAAGTTTACCTTTCCTAGTTTCTCTTGATACAGGCATTCAGCTTTGTCATAGGATGATTTGTCAACCCAGACTTTGTCTTTTGAGATACTGCACGAATCAGCTGCCATTTTTAGTTTGATTTAGAGCTAGAAAGTAATAGAAAAAGGGCTGATAATAAATTATACTACATACGTTTAAAATAATTTCATTTTTATTATTCATAAAAGTAAAAAGTTATCTTAAATCAAAACAAAAGCATTCTATGACAATTAATAAATGAACGGTCAATAATTAAATAAATATTGCGTAATAAATAAAATAAATCAATAAGTTATGTACAATGAAATGTATTAAAATAAAGAAAAAGTATGAAATGAATTTTTTTTCAATAATAATGAATACTCTTAGATCTCGTTGTTTACTTTTAAGTGCAAGAACTCAAAATCGTGAAAAAAAGTAAAATTTACGTATAAACTAAAACTTGAAGATGAGGTGAATTATGGTTGTTAAACAAAAATTGTGTAAATTATATATTTAGTTTTGGGAATATCTGGTGTGAAACCTTTAATTTTCTTCACTTCATTATTATTCTGTCCTTTTTTTAGAATTTAACTTTGACGTTTGATTTTATTATACTTATTGCCTTACGCTTTTCATACACTTATGTTTACCTCTGAATCTGAGCCAAATAGATCTACATCCTCATCATCGTCTTTCTTCTCTTCTTTTTTCTCCTCTTTCTTGGGAAGAGCGGGCTTCTTAGCAGGACAAACAGCGATTTGTGGGGCTGGGGTTCCTTTAGAGCCACATTTGCTTTCTAATTCTTTAACACGACTTTCCAGCTTTTTGACATGGTTCATAAGCTCCTGGACAGCTAATTAGGAATTTTATAAATTACGATTGATGACAAATTGAAACATGAAATAAAAATGATATTTATGATGAATTGTATTTATTTCCAGATATAGATTATTACGTACAAAATTAATTGCAAGCAATCATGC